AACAAAATCAACCCCTTCTTGTTGCGTATATCCTTTAGCAACCAAACGAGCTTTATGTCTATCAATTGATCCGTCAGACTTATATTTATTTTTGTGAATCCACTGACAACCAATAGAATGCTTATCAGCCGGTAGAGGAACAACAGACCAGGTGTTATTAAGCTCCATAGCATCCAATTCGGCTTTCATGGCCTCACGCCATTGAGGATATTTGACAGCCTGATGATAGAACTGCGGCTCAACCTGAGAAGAAACATTAAGAACAAATTGTTTGAAAGCAAGAGAAAGATTGGCATATGAGATATGGTCAGACAAAGGATATAGAACTTTGTTGGAGGAAGATGCCAAACCAAGTGTAGAACCGTGTGACACTTGGTTGCAATGGAAATCCCTCAGTTAAGAAGGTTGTTTAACCGGCCTAGATTAACGTCAGATAGGGGCAGCAACAACATCAGGAGGAGGGTGTGGCTCCTTTGAAACCAGAAACTCAACATCATCAGGTACAAGTTGCGGCAAGACCAAATCGGGAAACGGATCCACTAGCTCAGTGGTATTGATGACTGAATGAAAAGGAAAAATAGATTCATGGAACACTGCATCCCGTGAGATAAAAATCTGTTTAGTTTGTATGTCATAAAGCCTGTAAGCCTTCATGCCTGGTAAGTATCCTAGAAAGACACAAGTGCGAGCACGGGGCTAGAACTTGGTACGATGGGCAAAAAGTGTAGAAGCGAAAGCAAGACATCCAAAGACACGAAGATGTGAGTAGTTAACCTCTTTATGAAATAGGAGCTCGTATGGAGTTTTGTTGCCTAAAACAGGAGAAGGTGTCCTGTTTATCAGAAAGGCAACTGTGAGTACACACTCGGTCCAAAAAGAAAGTGGAACCCTAAACTGAAAATATATGGCGCGAGCAACATTCAAGAGATGATGTTGTTTCTGCTCAACCACAGAATTCTGTTGCGGCCTTTCATTGCAAGAAAACTAATGAAGAACTCCCTTATTATTGAAAAAAATCAGCAAAAACAAGCTCCTTTGCATTGTCAGAACGAAACTCTTGGATATGTTTATCAAACTGAGTTGCAATGAGATTGAAAAACTTGGGAATGGCAGTGGAAACATCATTTTTGTGTTTAAGTAAGAACACACAAGTAAATCGAGTGCAATCATCAACCAAAGTTAAGAAATAACGATGTCCAGAAGGAGATAACAAATGATAAGGACCCCAAATGTCACAATGTATTAAGTCAAAGGGAGACTTTGACATATTATTATGAGATACAAATGGCAATTTCCTTTGCTTAGCCAAAGGATAAATGTAACAAGGGTCCTGAGGACCAATCCAAAAATTAGTGCAAGACAATTGACCTTTCAACATATTTAAACACTTATAAGACAAGTGACCAAGTCTATTGTACCAAGTATGTACAGACACATTATTGGTATATGCTATATGGGATGTGTTAGACAATGAAAAATCTGGACAAGTGGTATCAAAAACATGTAAACCTTTAAGCTTTCTACCCATGCCAATCGTCCTCTTGATGTGCATTTCCTGAATCGTGAAATGATCAGGAAAGAAACCAAATGTGAGCATAGAGGCATTGGAAAGAGCACTGACTGAAAGCAAATTAAAGGTAAATTGAGGAATAAAGAGAACATCCTTGAGCAATGAGGTGGAACTAAGTCTAACATCACCAGAGAACTGAATAGATATTGAGGTTTTGTTAGGTAAATTCACTGAGGAATTTGAAACAGGTCGCAGGAAGAGAAAAGCATTGGCATTGGAACAAATATGCTTGGAAGCCCCTGAATCAACAATCCACAGCGAAGGAGATGACAAAGTATGAGTCAACGAAACCGAGAAACAAGTACCTGAGACAAATGAAGTCGTAGGAGCCTTATTGTACGAGCAGCTAACATATGACCAGATAAGAGACTCATCAGTTGCTGGCATTGAACCGTGTTTAGAGTTTGAAGGAAATTCCCAACACCCTCATTCACGCAAGCATTGTTGTCAGTGGCCATTTGAGTAGAAAGTTGATTCACCATACCAGGCGAGGTGATCGATTGTTGTGGCCTCTGCCACTGCCTAAAACCTGGAGGGTAGCCATGTATTTTGTAGCACTTGTCTATAGTATGACCATGATAATTGCAATGAGTGCAAAAGGGACAATCTTTCCTCTGATTCTTGTGCCCATTGCGAGAACCATTGCTATAACCATTATTAACATGAACTCCAAGTTCATTCTTGGCCACAAAAGCCATGAAATTAGTTGAATCACCAGCTAAAACAGATTGAGAACTCACCTTTCTCTGTCGTTCCTCTTGTGAGATTAAAGAAAAAACCTTGTTTATGGCCGGAAGAGGGAGCAATAACTGGCCTCTCACTTGTGCAAATGATTCATTAAGCCCCATTAGAAAAGACATGATATATTCCATTTTATAATTAGCAGCTAATTCCTTAACACTTCCACAAGTGCATTTTCCACATGAACAAAATGGACGAAAATTACTGAGCACTTCCCACAAAGCCTTAAGTTTTGTGAAATAGACACTAACCGATTGTTGATCCTGAGCCAGATTGATCAATTCACGTCGCAATTGAAAAATACGAGGATCGTTGCTTTGTGAAAACCTTTCCTTGAGATCAAGCCAAATTTCTGCAGCCGATTTAGAAAAAATGATGCTAGCCGAAATCTCCTTAGAAACGGAGTTCAGAATCCATGAAATCACAAGATTATTATTGCGAATCCATGAATTGAGAATAAGGAAGTCCGATTCATCTGGTTTTTCAATGGAACCATCCACGAACCCTAATTTGTTCTTGACAGAAAGGGCAATTAGCATAGCTCTGCTCCAAGATGAGTAATTATCGCCATTGAGTAACTGAGACACCAGTACAAGACCGGGACCATCGGAGTGATGGAGGAAATACGAGCTAAAAGAGTCATCAATGGCGGATTTGCCATTTGACGAGGAAGACGAATCAAGAATTGGAGAAGCCATAAACTCCAATCAGAAAAAAAAAAAAAAAAAAAAAAAAAAAAAAAAAAAAAACCGAAGAAGAAGAATCGAAGAAGAATCGAAGAAGGATCGAAGAAGAATCAAAGAAGAAATCAATCTTGGACAAATGATCGAAGATCAGATCGATTCTCATAAAAAATGAGGAAAAAAACCCGAAAGGAAAAAAAATATTGCTCTGATACCATATTACGAAGGAAGAGAGAGAAAAATATTGTATTCTCATTAAGGGTACAACCCAATATATACACAAAAGTAGAAGCTTATGTTATAAGCTAGATCAGAAACTTAAACTATAAAACTAATAAACTTAAGTATTCCTAAAATTATTAAAGGCGATAATAATTAATGTCACGTAGGTATTGTCTTATTGTTTTTGTGTTTTTAGTCTATAATAATGTAGGTTGTTTTCCCGATCTCTAGTTTTGTTTAAGTCCAATTCACTGGAATTATTTTTTTGCGTTGTTGTGGATGACTTTTGTTTTATGGGTCTCTTTGGTCTTGATCGATCAAAGTTTTCTATCGACCGTAAAGAAGTTGTTAAAAGAGCCAAATGTATTTGTGTTTGATTATTTATGTGACTTTTAGACTTTCTATTGTTAGACCGTTGCACATTTTATCTCTTTGTGCGTTTTTTAGTAGAACCAATTTATGAAGAAGGTTTTCTTATATTTCTATGTCACTCGAATGATTTAAATTAGTGTGTTAATTATTGATTTGGAATACAATTTCCTTTCTTGCTTTAAAAACTGACCCGATCAATCAATCTCTAAACTAAAAGAGAGGGAGTTCGAGGGAGGGGAAACCTCGTCCTATTTTATTCTATCATTTAAGTTTTTGATTATTTAATTACATATAAAAGTCGTCTATCATCGCATTATCTTTGAAAGTCATCTTATTATTCTTGCAAAAGAAATGGAATAAAGGGACAACTTTACTCCAAAATATTTCTAACGGCCCACGATTCTTGACTAAAGAAAGAAATGGGATAGGGGCATACCTTTTTCAAAAAATTAAAATTAAAAAAAAAAAGAGAGAAAGAAACACTATTTTTGTCCAACCAAAACCTTTATTTACACTATAGTGTCAAGTAACTAACGGCTAATAAAAGGTCATTATTTCCTTGTCCTTTAGTTACTTGAAGGATTAAGAAATTTATGTCTCGTTCATTTCACCGATTCGAGTTTTCAGTTTTAAGTTTTTACAGTAAAAAGCTCTCAGAAAATGTCACATCTAACTTTTTCTGCTACAGTGAAAAGCTCTAAAAAAATATCACATCTCAGCTCAAATTGAAAACTCGAATCCGCGAAGTGAACGAGGCCTTAATGTTGATCCATATCTCCTTCTAAATCTCCCCATTTATTGTAGAAAAAACTTCAAGATCATGTTTTGTATTTTCCTGAAGCAAAACAAGCGCATAATCGCAAAACCTTCTCTCACCAAAACGACACTGACGCAGCCTCTACTTCGTCTTCATCACCGTTGGCACCAACCGCCACATATACCGGTTGGCACCACAATTTACTCACTAAAACGCACTAATCCCAACACCCAAATCCTCTTCCTCACCATGTGGCATTTTGAAAGTGTGACCTTAAAATTGCTGAATTGCCAGAAATCACTTGCGGTTTGCAAGATTTTATGGCGGCCTTGCAAACTCCCCTTGATGGGTGAAAAAAGACAGATTTCCGAAAAACAAAAAAAGGTGACACTATTGAAAAACTTTCCTTTTTTTTTTTTTTGACAGGAATCACTGGCATTTTTTCTTACTTTGGGATTGAAATGTCCTATTGAATATTGATGATGCAAGAAGAGTGGTAAAACTCGAGGAAAAGCAGTATACAAGTTTACCTTTTTACCCTTAATAAAAAAATAAGAGAGAACAATTTGGACTTTTGATACATTAGAAAGCAACATTACAAATCTCATATTGATAGAGATTTCTTCTAATGAATTTCAGGCATTTGAAGATAGACTTTTAACAGACCATCCGGTTCATAAACTCGGCATTTTATTTTCAGCAATAAATTCAGTTTCCAGATTGCAACAGCATATTTAGTTTAATGTTAAAATGACATTCATAAAAAGAAAAAAGTCAACAATCTGCAACTTTGCAAGGCATGGACGTTATTAACCGCCAGTTATCCAACGCAGCATTAAACCCAGGAAGGAAAAATAGAACTTTGTAGAGAAAGCAATTCAGAGGGCCATATGGGTAAATTGACTCTTATGCTTTCTTCAGCCATGTATAACGGCAAGAGCAAGACCTCTTGAGAATTGAATCCTCCGAAACTTGTTGCTTCAAGATGTAGCCCTATTATCTCTGATGCCCATGCAGCGCCGCCAAACTTTACATAAACTCGATACTTGAGGTTGAATCAAAACAACCCTCCTGTCCAGCCATTATTATTATTTCACAAGTATTTAACCATGCCACGACCTTCCACACTAAGTTTTGTGGCCTGAAGCTGCTTCTTTTTTGGTGCCTTCAGCTGCTGCAACTTCTTGTTCATCTGCGGTTGATGATTAACGTTAGACAAATCAAAAGACCAGAAACATAAAAAGATAATGGAACAAGACACTTGAGGAAAACACAAATGCAGGTTGACATTCTTGAGCTCGAAACAAACTATTTGGAGAAGAAATGAAAGGTTAATAATGTGGGTTGTGGCATCCATTCACTTGTATCCTGCATGGATGTTTCAGTTGTAGTTGCCTTCCAAAAACATGGATTGGATTTAACAAATAATAAGCCCTTCTCCCCTTCGAACGGACTTGGAAATAATCCAAGTATGCTTGATGAATTTAATTATACTCATATTGCAGGAAGAAAACCAACCTTTAAGCGACGCTGGTCTTGTATAGCTGCTTTAGCACGTGCCCTAATTTCATCTGGATCGATCTTCGATTGTGGGCGTACAACAAAATCCATTGGAGTAGCTTCCGGTCTTATAGTGACTTGTCTAGCAGATGATTGGCCAGATTTGCGTTCCCTGTATCATAGCCAAATATATATATATATATATATAGAAGAAAGAAAAAAAAAATCAGTTTTGAGATGTTAAGCAGATACGAGGTTGTTGGATATGATTGCCTGAAAGGGCGAGAACTGTCATAACATCTTACCTAGAAAATTCATCCAAGTCCAGATCACCATCTCTAGATTCAACTCTTGCTGAGTTATTTACTGGCCTGTGGAATGCCAACAAAAAACATATAATTAATAAAGATAATAAAAGCACACAGTGGAAGGGGGAAATGTGAAAGAGAATAAAAGCACACGGGAAATGTGAATTCATACTTTTTCACAGTTGGCCTTCGGTATGGAACCCTCTCATCATCGGCATTTCTCATGTCCTCAAACCTTGTACTTTTATTAAATATCGGTCGACTCTGCAATCAAGTTAAAATGAAACATCATTGAGTATATGTACAAAATAATCTACGTACCTGGATTAATGATAGTAAAATGATTAAGAACTTTCCGAAAAACTCTAGGTGCATAATAAAACAAACAGGGTCCAAATCAGAACTAAAATTTGGAAACCTACAAAAGAAGAGTAAAAAAAATTCTTTTTTTTTAACAAGAGAAATTTGAAACCTACTAAAAAAGAGTGAAAATAAAAATAACCCATTCTTTTCACAGCTTGAGCTAGAGAACTTGAGTTGAAAAGTGAATTCATGTGAGAAAAAAACTGTAGCAAAAAAGTTGAATTTGAATTTTTGTGAGGGAAAACACTATAGCAAAAAGTTTGAATTGTGATTCGAGTCCTGAAAAGAACGGAGCTTGCGCACCTCAAGCCAAATTTTATCCAGCAGCACGAGAACAAAGATGATGAAAATCCTAGTTACTATTACAACTCTGTCTTCAGTGCAGTGAGTAGAAATAGGTTCTAACTCCTAAAGCAGAAACAGTCTGAAGAAAAATATTCACGTATTTGGACAGAAGCAAGTAATAGAAAAATCTTCACTTTACCCATTTATCAACCAATTCCTTTGCAAGCTTTCTATTGGACGTAGTTTCTTCGTCAGATTTTGACAAAAACATAATGACCTGCCAAAAAATATTACGCGTATCATTTATAATGCTACCTTCAATGCCAATTCACAAAGTCACAAACTGTTGGTGTGATTCAATTACTCGTACAATAACCCTCACCTTTCCAAGACCACTTTTCTTCAGTTGTTCTCTTCTATCATATTGCCCCAGATCAATTGGAAACTGCATAACAGAAGGAACATTCAGGTACTGCATAACTTGCCCAACGACTTACTAAAACTTATCAAACCAAGGAGGTAGAGGACTGCACGCACATCATTCAAAATTTTCAAAATTGCTGCACGGATATTTATATTCGGTAAACTTCCATCCGGAAGAGGTTCAAGCCAATTCTTTAATAAAGTTAGAACACCATGATCTAAGAACTCCTGTTGAAGCTGCTTCCTGAACCACAGGAAAAACTTGATGAATAAAAGAAATGCGAAAAGAAGCAAGTACACCAAAAGAATGATCACCATCTTACTTTGAGAGAACCTCAGTAAGAAGAGGTAACTTCTTGAGTTTATTAACAGCAGGTCTACCCTGTCTGTTAAGTTCTGCATCCTCTTCAGCTGTGACCTCGAGCTCAGCCATGACATTCTCGACTAGCAGCGCTATTTCTGCAGGACTTTTTTCATTCTTCTTTTTTTTCTTACCCATCTTGAAAAGCTGCTCAATTTCATCTCCATCAACCTCTTCTGCCTATAAAATTTCAAACATGACAGCCAAATAAATATATAAATTTAGTCCTGATATAGTCACCGAAAGTGACAGTAGCAATATCAGTCCAAGAACATAATTATGCAACAAGTACCACACGCAAAAGAACGAATGGCTTAAACCACTAACCTCAGGATGATCACCAGGAGAGCGTGCCTCATTATCACTGCCATATCGGTCTGTTGGATCTACGCCACTGTCATCTATAAAGTTGTCATCATCCACAGTTCTAGCACCCTCTTGATCATCCTACTCCATTCAAAAGAGTAAAGTTTAGGTCCTTTAGGATATTCTAGTTATTGAGAAAAAGTCAGAACCTAAGCAGCTAGAGATAACTATCTAAATCACCAACACATACGTAACTATGTAGGCAAGCATATCCTGCAAGATATACATAACGAACTAAACAAGGTTTGTTCTTTATCCCCTCAGAATCTAAATACAGTATACTATTCACATTAACTATTTGACAATATAACATAACAAAGAAAATCAAATATTTATAACATAAAGAAAACGCTCTTAATTTTCATATTCAGCCGAACTACTTATAGATACTTAACCTAGGCACTGTTGACCGCCCACAAAAAACCCATAAACAAGAAAAACATTCCACAGTACTAATTCCAAGTAAGCACAAAGAACCAAAAGAGCTTCACTTTCCACGACCCTAGGATCTAAAACACGGTAAACCAACTTCTCCTATGACCAATTTGACCCACTAAAATAACCCAGAAAATCGAAAATCACAAGTCTATAATATAAAATGAAGCTCTTAATCCCCGCATTCAGTCCCAATAACAGAAACCCAACTTGCTTATAGTCTCGGCCGAGCTATTAACCAAGAAAAATCCACAAACAACATCAGAAGGCAGTAACCAAAAGAAAAAAGGCCACAACAAAAGGTAAATTCAGGGGTAAAAAACCTCAGAATCGCCACCAGCAATAGTGTCCCACATCTCCTTGACCTCACCATCCTGATCCCTCACGGCCTTCTCCGCGAACCCTCTCTTCGACATCCTTGAGCTCGACCCCCCAGCTTTCTCCCCATACTTCTTCTCCCCCTTATGCCTCTTCTCCTTCTTCCCACTTCCACTCCCGCCCAGCTTCTTCCTCTTTCCGTCGGACCCGTCCCTCACGAAACCCTCGATATCTCCTTCATCGTCGTCGACGAAATCCGGCGCCGCCACCTCCCTCGCGGAGTGGCTCTTCTTGATCAGCCTCTTCCTAGGCTTCGGCCGCGACCCCGAGGCGTCCGCATCGTGGACCGGAGTCTGCGATCGCTCTCGCCCGCGCCAATTGTCGTCCTCGTCGTCGTCGAGGAGGTGGTGGTTTGGCTCCGGCGACCGTTCGCGATCGGACTGGATGTCGTCGTAGTCCATCAACGGCTCACCGTCTTCGTCGCGGTACCTGAAAAATCGAAGAACGACGAAAAATGAAATCGAACCGATAAAAACCCTAGCTTTTTCGATGGAGAAAGAGAAAGGTGGAGAAGAAAAAGTACGGATCGTCCTCGTAGCCCATGGTGATGGAACTTGGGATGATTTCCTAAGGCAAAATTGCGAGTTGGAAAATCGACGATTAAGAATCGCTGGCGAATAGAACTCCGATGAGATTTTAGAGAGAGAGAGAGAGAGAGAGGAGAGACAAATCTTCAGACGCCGCCAACAACTGGCGATGACCTAATATATTGTAGTTTTAGTTTTTTTTTAGATAATTTAATTATTTTAAATGTCAAAATTAATAATTGATTGAGGTATAAATTTATATATTAAATCTAATTTAAATTTATAAATTTAACGAATAAAAATTAAAAGTGTAATTTTTAAATAAATTTTAAATATAAAGCATAAAAATTAAAATTAAAAAAAAGAAAGAAATTAGTTTGTGATTACAAAGTAATTTTCTTATATTTATAATATTATTCTATTGAATTGCTAGTAGAATAGTGAAAAATGTTATGTGACACTCATATAAGGTAAGTTCACGTAGTGACAGTTTCTTCCTCCTCTTCTTTTCCACCTTCTTCTAAAGAAAATATAATGCTATTAACATGCATAAATCTAAATTTTTCTTTTATTTTTAATTAGTGTCATTTTATTAATATGGTTATTTGATTAAAAATATATATTAATTAAGCGTTTTAAAAAATCAAAGCTTACAGATTTTTAAAAAATATTTGTCACGATTTCTCTCTAAATAACAACTCTAACGCTACTATCCTCATTATTAAAAATTATCTTTTAAAAAAAAAACTACGATCCGCTAAAAACATAATCTGTAACCACGCTGATAGAGATCGTGGTCAGCGTTATTTTACAATTTGAGTTTATTTTTAGTTACTTCACTTGTGTTGTTCATTTCACAACTCAAGTCTTATTGCTACAGTATTTTCTCTTACAAAAATTTAAATTTAACTTTTTTATTATAGTATTTTTCTCTCACATACACTACTCAAGTCATAACTCTAAGTTATGACTTGAGTTGTGAAATGAACATATTGTTTATCTGTTAAATGTTATTTTATTAGTATTATGAGTCAATAAATAAATGTGATATTTGTATTGTTAGTCTTAAAACGATTTTCTATGCAGAAGCGTGTATTTAGCGGATCATGTATAACAAAAATTTTACAAACCTTTGAGATACACTATAGAATACATAAATTTATGCATGAATAAATTAATCAAATTAATTTATTTACTTAGTGAACAATTAGGTCAATAGCTTGAGTTCTTTCACCACGAACGTCTCTCTCTAACCTTGTTTAGAATATCCGAATCTTCTTTGTCAATTCATTGAATCTACGAAGACGTATGTGTGGGCACACCTGAAACAAAACGGAATTAGCAAATAAACACTCACGTTTTTTCATGAACACCAACACATACACGACATGAAATTTGGGAGAAAATTTTTTCTTTTTCTCACTCTATAAAACTAGCCACACTATGCTAGGGATAGTAAAAATTATGTTCTCCAATTTTCTGCAATCTCCTATTTATAGAGTAATAGTCAGACTCTTAGAAGAAGTCTAAACTTTATCTCCAAGATAAATCTTGAAAATTATCTCTCACTTCTAATTGATTTTGGAAACAAAATTCACTCTCTCTCTTATCCCATAGGGCCGGCCACCTCAGGGATATTCCTTCTTGTGGTAGGCACAAATAGTAGATATGGAAGGAGGCAAAATTATGCTTTTATCATATAGTCCAATTTTGACTCAAATTTAAATTCCAATTTAAGTTAAACTTAATTTAATTTGAATTTCAATTGGACAACTTAGCAAATAAGTCAATTTGGTAACTTAAAGAGCAAGCAACTGAATCCCAGAGAGATTCACACTATGCTGGTGTGTACACCATGTGGACATATCCATATGTGTGTTCTAAAATTCAAATTTTAAATAATCACATTATTTCACTTATAATTAATTCTCAATTAATTATTCTTGAGCGTTTTATTTAGAATTCTATAATTTTAAAATTCTCATTTTGCCCTTTAGTGTCTTGTAGGATTACAAGGACGACGCAGGAACTCATGGACCTATAATTCCGAGCTCTAATAAAATTAATAATTAATTAAAACTCTTTAATTAATTAATTAATTCTATTATTTCTAAAATTACTCCATTATAAACATGGAATTGCACTTTCGTAATTTTAGATATAATTTACTTCTAAACTGAAGTGTCCATTTGATATAGTCATTATATATAGATCAATTTTTCATAAATAATTTATAATTAGAGTTAGGTGAAATATGTTAACCTCTTTATTATGTCTTTATCCTTGAGTACCATTTATTCTTTAATACACAGTGATTCATAAAACAAATTCATGATTGGGAGCTCCTACTAGTCCAAGTACCGAATCAACCCTCAAGATAATTATTTATCTGCTTCTTTTTCAAGAAAGAATGGATTCCATCTCGTATATTAGCATTCTTAGTTACCTGCATCATCATGTCTCTAAGATACAAGGAATAGAATTTAATAATCTCAAAATCTGTACCGAGTAAGTCAAAAGACCTAAATCCACAAATATGAGTTTGCTAATAACTCAGGATTAAGATCGTTCTATATAGATCATCGGTAGACTCAATTAAAATTTCTATACTTAATAGAAATTATAAAAAATTCATATTGTGTTTGTGTCTTGATTCTATATAATCTCATTATGCGTAATACATTCATTCAATATCTCGCCATATTAACAGTGCGGATGACACTGTTTCATTCTAAATAAAATGATATGTATTAGTAATGTTTTAATTAAAAATTCTGAAACGCTAATTAAATTCATCACGACACGTTTCGATTATTATTCTTAAATATTATCTTCTCGTATATAACTCTTATATACAATATTTAATGTTACATAAATAATCACAAAATTTTCAATGATATTCATAATACATGCACATAAATAAAATTTTTTTCTCATTTATCAAATAAATAATAATATTTTTTTATTACATCTCATACTTTTAAGACACCATTCCCAATATGTATTATTCACTTTAAACTCGATGAATTAAATACATATTTTTTCTTCCTAATTGTTCTCTTTTCTCTACTATTAACTCTTCTTCTTCCCTGAATTCTTCTCTTATTCTCTAACTATAACTAATTCTTTAATCATCTTAATCGGCAATACCCTCCATTAACTACTTCATTTATGTACAAGTTAATCACACAAATTTAATCTTGATCTGATATTGTCCACCATTAACTACTTTATTTATAAACGAGTTAATCATACAAATGGTTCTACAAATTTTATCCTTAATCCTACTTTTATCGCTAATTTTAAAAAGTCGTAGACTCATTCTCAATCTTCCAATTTGGTTTAATTTTAATCTTCTTATCAATTGGTTAAAAAGAAGACGAAATAAGGACAGGATGCTGACAGAAAATAAAACTTGCTATTCGGAACATTGAGTATTTCATCTTTTTTTTTTAACATTCCATTGATGAAAATGCTAAACCGAAACTCATAAATCAAGGTTTGATTTGAGACTTTTTAAAACTATGTATCAAAGTGAGATTTGGGACTATTTATAACATGAACTTTCTGTGAATTGTATAGAAATAAAAATACATATCCTATAGAGACAATGTGTAACAAGTTACCTTTCGCTTAGCAAATAGCAAGCAAAGAGTCACTTCCATGAAAATGATCATTCGTTCATATTCATAAGAATGCCTAACTATATTGCAGTGTCAGAATTCATGTATTATCTTTACTGCTTTCTTGGGGCTAAAGAAACTGGCACGTTCTAATCCCCAATCCCTGATAATCTCAAGAATCCTCTAGCCTAAGTCTCATACTATGGTTTTCTCGCTTTGCTAATTTTCCCCTCTAATGTGGGTCGGACGGCGTTCCGCAATTCGGGTAGCAGACTTTGCCTAAATTAATTTTCTTTGTTTTTTTTTTTAATTTTTTAGTCCTCTCTCCTTTTATTTTTTTTTTGTCTCTCTACTTTTTTTTTTCAATTTTATTCTTTTTTACCCTATTATACATTTGTTATTTTTTCTTTTTCTAAATTGACCTTCATAAAAATATTCTTCTTTCTAGTTTCCTGTTGAAATAATCTTTTCTTATATATATCCCCGTCTAGATTCTTTTAAACCATCTTTTCCTATTGAAGAAATGTCTCGTAAGTGAGGATTTTTTCCCCTCTTTTTTCCCTCACTCTTTTCTTTTTTTTTTTTCTTCCTCTTCTTTTCATTATTAGCTTTTTTTTTTCTCTATTTATACATTTTTTTCCTTTCTTCGTATAAGATCCTAATAAATATATTTCTCATTCTTATTTACAGAATCTCGCGCTTTTCAACTACTAATTTGAAAAAGGTATATATATATATATATATATATATAAATAAAGGGTCACAATGCATGTTCCTTTTTTTTTTTTTAAACTAGTTTGAGATACGTGCCAAACGCACGTGACACCCATGTTTGCACAATATACAGGTGTTTTGGTTAATAAATCTTTTGTTCTTGATAAATCAATAAATTTTCTTGAATTTTTTTGCCCAATTAAAATGGTTGTCCTGTCAAATTCATCAGGTCTCCAAAACTTTTTTATAAGTTATAAACTGCGATTTCAATATTAACATTAGAAAGGATGCAACAAAAGCAAAGCATATAAAAAAAAAAAAAAAAAAAAAAAAACACAAAAAAAAAAAAAAAAAAAAAAAAAAAACCCAACAAATCAAGCAGAATATTTTTTTCTTTTCTGGAAAAAAAGATGTCATTCATTTACGTAGGAAAAAAATTATGAAATCAATTATCTATTAGATCTTTATGAAGATGATAATTGAGAAGTCTGAATTAATATAATATTGATATTTAATTTTTATAGTTAGTGATTAAATAAAATAATTCTAATCAATGAATAATATAATTATATCTATATGTTTATCAAATAGTAACCTAAATTTGAATTCAATAGCTTCAGACGTCTTTGAATTTCGTAGAAAATGCATGATCGATGATTTAGTCGCCAAAGATAAATCTTCAAAAGTTTTATGTTGTTAACCCCTCTCTCTCTCTCACACACATGTATATATTACATCGAGTCTCTACTTTAATTACAATTATGTTATTATATGTTTTCTAAATTATTTATTATGATAATACAAGGATCAAAGAAACGTTGGTTTAATCCCTTTTTCGTTAAACATGATCTGATCTAATTAATCTTTTATACAACATATGATATATAGGTCAATACATTTTTTTTTAGGTCGGCCAATGATGTACATAGATATGCTATTTATTTCGTTTGTAAGTGAATTGATTATTGTAGTGGAATTCAAGTCTCAAGGAGGAAAAAAAAAAAGATTAATAGAAAAATTTTCAAACAATTAACTGATAAATTGATATCTGGTTTTCAAAGAGATGGGAAAGACCTTGTTGATGAAAAATGGAATTTTTAAGTAATTATTACTTTCGAGTTGACATAGCCGTAAAAAGAAGCTCAAAATGACCAGAAATGTAAAAAAATAAATAAAATAAAATAAAAGAACAAAGAAAACACATGACTTGAATACTAAACAGAGTGCACTTTGGTAAAAGTTATTTTTTTATTTATTAAAATGACATAATAGTATTGCATGTATTTTTTACATTTTTTAAAGGAGAACACGTTTTTTTGAGAGGGACGAAACATTTTGTCTGCTTCTCCCTCTAAAATTAACCACGTCAGTTTTTTTTCCTAACACGAAGAAATGATTTTGTGTGGCGCGTTTCAACTGAATACCACGTTTCAGTTTTCAATTTATTATCCTCAAAACTGTATTCCACGTGGAAGAATCCTAATCGATTACTCAAAAAAAAGTCCACGTGTCCACAACTAAATAGATGAACAAAATGAGCTCAACGTAGAAACGGAGCATTCAATCCCGAGCAGGACTTTAGTTGCCAACAGTTTACTGCCACGTGTAGTTGCCTCATTGGAGGAAGGAAAACGCGGCGGGGCAGACTTGCACTCAATCTAGACGCACCGCTCTCCGCGCGTGTTTTCATGCGCCCATCGTGAGCGTTGGTTGCATTGATCCTACGGCTAGAAAAATCCCGGTTTTATTTTTTTTATTAGTTATTATATATATATATATTTATTTATTTTTGAGTGATTTTGTGGTCTGATTCTATCTACTTTAATACCGTTTTTGCATCAAATTTTTAATACTATTCAGATAAAAATAAGATAAATAATACAAATGAAAAGAATCTACTTTAAATAATCAACTTAAATTCAAGCTCCACTACTACCACCACATACCCCTAAAAATTTTTCATAATTAAAGGTTCGTCTCATATATCGCACCACGAATTTTTCAAGGCCGAACAAAATAGAATTCAGATCACCGTATTTTAACACATTTTTTATGCCTTTTTTTCCTCATTCATTTCTTTTTTTAAAACAATTTTCATATTTGTTATAGATCACGTGCGCGTGGCTCGAAATCATTTCACTTTTCCCTATTTTATTATTATTATTATTATTATTTATTATGTTTATTTATTTATTTATTTTTAAGTCATTTGTAGCCCTATTTTTAACACCGTTTTGTGCCGAATTTTCAATGCTAAACATATAAAAATATAAAAATAATTTGCATGAATTGTAACCATTTTACTATCATTTTGCACCAACTTTCTGATACTACTCACATGAAAATATTGTAAATAGTTTTAATGAAAAAATAAATAAAAATGTGTTGAGCTAAAATAAAATTAAATTACAGCAAATTAAAAAAAATAAATTCAAACAAAACATAATAAAATTAATTAAAATATAATAAAATAAGTTAGATTTTTTTTTGAGTGAGAGGTATTTTTTTCCTTCTTTCACCCTTTTTAAAAAACAATTTATATAACTGTTATTTTTAAATGAATTTATTAAGATACACCTGTAAACTAAAGTTCATATGCACAATTCACGTGGCAAAACTTTGTCTAATAGAAAGAAAAGGAAAAACACTAATAGAAAGCAACCAAGCAAAGTTTTTGAAGTATGATTTATAGAAGCTTTTTAGATACTAATAGAAATATATAAAATGCATGCTTTAAATTACTTATGGCTCGTTTAGTTTGTTGATTCGAATTGAAATGTAACTTTATGTGAGAGCTTTTTACTGTAGCAAATAAGTTAGATGTGGCTGTTTTTTAGAGCTTTTTATTGTAATAAAATTCGAATTCGAAACTCGAATTAGTAAAATAAATAATGCTTTACTATTTTGTTATTATGAAGCAACAATGTTTTTGTAATAATTGCGAAAAAAATTCACGACACAAAGAAGATAGTTTTTCATATTTTTATAAAGAGAGAATGTAATAAATCGCAGATTTTAAGACTATTTAAAATTAATAGCAGTTTACATGATAAATTAATCATTTACTGCGTAAATGGTTCATTTACGGCCAGTTAAAAACATTTTTTTCATGTAAATTCTCTTTTTATGACTAATAAAAAGATGTTTTTCTATGTAAATAAAGATTTTTTTTAAGATTGTTTACCATATAAGTTGTTTTTACTAACTGATAAATAATTCATTTACCACTTAAACTTCTATTTACTTCAAATAATTTTAAAATTTACTATTTACTTAATTTTTAGTTTTAAAAATATGCTATTTACTATAATTTATATTTTATGAAATATTTCAGACTTTCAAGATAAAATAAGCATTTTTTTTAATAATTACGATCTTTTATTCAACTAAAATAAACATTACAATCGTAATTTTGTATCTAACAAAGATCTCCATCTAAATAATTTAGTCTCATTTGGCAGATTATTTGAACTCCAAGAAATTTCCACCACTTGCAACAAGATAGAGATTAGAGGCGGCTAGAACCAGAAAAACTTAATAGAGGGTGCCCCAGAAGCGATCAGAATCAACAAAATCAGCAACCTCCAAATAATGATTGTCACAGAACCAATGGACGTTAAACAATTAACAAAAAGAAAGACCTGAATAATATCAACAAACAGAGTGGAAAGCAAATGACCAAAAAGAAAAGCCTTTAGCTGTAATAACATACAGTTAAGAATTGTTCCCCAAGAAACAGTAAAGTTCTTTTGAGCATTCAGCAACCAATGATATATATATATATATATATATATATATAATTTAAAACCCCACTCGAAACTAGTCATAATTATCAGAACAACCCAATAAAAATGTTGTCCTTGTCGATTAAAAAAACTAAATTACTTAAATACAGACATTTTTTGTGCATCAAATGTCACCAACACGGTTGATTTCAAACTCGAAAGAGGTCCCAAGAGGAGATAGGTTTGGTTTTATTTTGCCAGCATGCTCTTTATTTCATAAATATTAAGTACATACACTGACACACATTAGAAGAAAAGTAAATAACGAATAATTCACCTTTTGAGAGTTCGAGGAGAATCACAAAGGAGTGTTCTGTGTTGCCTACATTCATCTGCAAAGAATTAATTTGTTACATTAATATACAAAAATTCGTATCAGTTACGTTTTAACTCATTTCTCAAGAACAAAAGCAGAAAAGTCAAAGCACCTCTATGGCATACCTTTTTGGCCCGACATAGACATCTGGAATGTGGGAAATCTTGTGCCAATCCTCTCCTACTTCTTTTTCATATCGCTTCTCTAATTTGGGACATGATTCAATTGCCAATTTTTGCAAATTGGAGAGACTTTGGATGCTCGTCGGTAGATGTGTCAAATCTGGGCAACCAACAAGGATTAATTCACGAAGAGATGCAAGATTTCCAAGCCAATCAGGCAATGTCGTAAGCTCCAGAAAATAAGATATGGTCATGACTTCGAGTGAAGAAAGGTGTTGCAGGGCCTCAGGCAACGCAACCAACTTATGAGAAGCACGTAACTCATAAGAGTAACCACCGCGCCCTGATGATGTTAGTTCTAGGCCTGACATAGTCAAACTTTGGAGAGAAGAAAGGCGGTTAAGACAACTTGGAAATGTCTCCAGCTTCGCACAATCAACAATGTCTAGGGATTGAATCGCCGTAAGGTCCTGAAAGCTTTCAGGTAAAGATTTCAACTTCTTACAACTCTTAACTGCTATGCTTTTAAGAAGGGTAGGACCTCGGAATGGTATTCTCTCTGGTAAGCACCTGAGCTCATGGCAAAACGAGACATCTAAATCTTCCAGAGCTCCGAGTGCAATTAGCATATCAGGGGGCAACTCTTGAAGCTTTGTGAATCTATCAATTGTAAGTGACTTGAGAACTGTGAGATTTTGTAGCATCCCTGGGGGAAAGGAAGTGATGGTATCGCTGTTGTATATGCGAAGCGATGTAAGACCATGAAGATCAGAAATTGATTTTAGGAGCAACTCATGGCCCTCACAGATTGTCAAGTCTTTTACTGACCCTACGCTAGGTAAAGTCAATTTTGGGCATTTATCCACATACAAGCTGAACAAGCATGGGAACATATCATTTCCTTCCTCCCTCGACAGCCTTTCCAAATTTGGCAAATCCTCAAGGCGAAGAGTTTCCAAGCGCAAAAAACCTCTTGTCAAGTCTACATCATAGGATTCATTGTCCATATATTGCACAATATTCATTCCAGATATTTGGAGCTCTCGTAATGATTTTAGATTCCCAAGAGGAGGAAGTTTCAAACAATTTTGGAAATTAGAGAGAGTGATTCTAACTAGATTTCCAAGAATTTCATCACTGAACCAATATGGGAAATGGATACCATTATAATTTAAAATGCTCAAGCTTTTCAAATTCGGAGAAGGAGCAAGGGCTTCGAGTACCTGTTCAGCTTTGTCCTGAGATTCATTTTCATTTGTACTCCAAGCCAATTCCAATTCTTTGAGGTTCCTTTTCGCAGACAAATTGGTAGAGATTGCTTCCATTGGACTTCCCACTTCCTCAAGGTTGTTGATGCGTAGAAAACCTCCGATATTCAAGCGGTGTAACTCATCCAAGTGACAACCCTTTCTTTGATTCACAATAAATGCTGTCAAAGTCTTTAAGCAAGTTAGTCGCCCAATGTGTGGAGGCATATGAGATAACTTACGGCAGCCATGAATGTAAAGATGACGAAGACTTTTCAAGTGACTTATGCGCTTGGGTAGCTTATGAAGAGAATAACAAAAGCTTAGATCCAAAGTCAACAAATGGTTTAGGGAACAGACCGACCCCGGAAGGATTTCAATGTCACTGTTTGAAAGATTCAAATACCGCAAGTGCTTCAAATTGCATAAGTGCTTCAAATTGCGTAAGTGCTTCAAATTGCTAAGCAAAGCTGGTAAGGGCGTTGATAGCCAAATATACTTAGCATCAAAAGCTCGTAAAGAGGAAAACTTCAAGTTATAATCACCATAGAATGTTCCATCGCTCAATACCATGAAAGTCCGTAAGGACTCGGCGCATGGTATGTCGATAATTTTTTCCCGTGACGTCGACAAAGTCAAATGACGAACTCTTTTTGACAAGTTAATAAGATGTGTATTGTCATCGACCTCCACAATGCGACATTCATCCTCCACGATGGATTGAGCTAGATCATGAACTAAATCATGCATCCTGAAAGAGGAAATGTCATCAAAACTATCTTTCACAATGTCTTGGATGAATGATCGCCAATATAGTTCATCGAGTATCTCGTCACCAATATCTTCTGCATCAAGTCCTCTCTTGGAAGAAATCAGCCCATTAGCCATCCAAAGATGAATTAGCCGTTCCTTTCCAATTTTATAATCCTTGGGAAATACAGCACAGTAAGCAAAGCATCGTCTTTGCTCTATCGGAAGATTAAAGTAGCTTAATCTTAAAGCAGGCAATATGGAGCTCTCGTCTTGTGGTAAGTTCCAAAATTCACTTTGCATAACAGAGAGCCACTCATGTTCCTCTGTTTTGAAGCGCATTAAGCCTCCTAAAGCCTTTGCGGCGAGCGGCACTCCCTTGCACTTCCTCACTATCTCCTTCCCAATTTTCACAAGATTAGGCAGTTCTTCTCTTTGGTTAGCAAACGCACGTTGCTTGAACAATAACCAGCAATCATATTCAGATAAACCCGACAAGTAATGCATTGGGACCGTTCCCATGAAAGATGCAACCTTTTTCAGACGAGTAGTAACAACAATAGAAGCTCCATTTGATCCACAAGCCAATACATACTTCAGCTTGTCCCACTGCTCTTGATCTTCATTCCACACATCGTCCAAAACAAGCAAAAACCTTTTCCTCTTAAGAATGTCTTGAAGTCGTCTCTGAAGAGGATCCATGTCCAATGCTTCACAACCGGTTTTAGTAGCAGACTCGATAATCGCTTTCACCAATCTCTTCACATCGAAATCCTCCGAAACACAAACCCACATCTTAACCTCAAAATGCTTATCAACCCTCTCATCATTGAACGCCAACTGAGCAAGAGTTGTCTTTCCCATGCCTCCTAAACCAACAATAGAATAGATCGAAAGATCCTCACAATTCCTTTCATCATTTAACAAAAACCCAACAATCTTTTCCTTATCTTCTTCTCTTCCGTACACATGTGGCTCAGTAACAATGGAGCCAGTTTGTCTTCTCTCTCTCAAACCAAATTTCTCTCTCCTCTCCCCGACAGTCTCCCTCAAGTGAAAATTCATTCTCTCACTAGCAATTTGGTCAAGTCTATCACCAATCTCTTTCATCTTGTTTGCAATCTTATAACGAAACAGAACATTCATAGGATTGAAACAAGACAAAGAAGACCGTACCTTTTGATTCCATTTCTTCTTTTCTTCTTCATACCCCAACCGGAAAGCCTCCTTTTCGCAATCATCCAAAACATCGTCCAACTGAAAAGAAACATCGGTGAGTTTCTGAAGCCAGTTCTTGATGGAGCGGTCAGTTAACTGCTTTTCCTCGGCATCTTCGAGAACTGCAGAGATTGTTGAGAGAGTGCTGGTGAACTTCTGAATCTCTTTATCGATACCCAGAAGCAACCCAATTCTCCTCTGAACCAGAGAATTCAAATTCTCGAGCAGAACATTAAGGAAAGCTTCAGCCATATTCTTGTTTGTGAATCGAAATCAAGTGCAAAAAGAGAGCCTGTTTAGAGGTGATGAATTGTGAAAGAATGAAGTAGCTTTTGGAAGACTAGTGGTCATCTTTTTCTTCATTATTTATTGCAGCGTCAAAACTGTAGGACCCAATCGACCAGCCAACGGGTTGAAGTTAAGCAGTAAATCATAATATAACAATACTAGTTAGTTGCCACGCTGTACGTGAGTAATTTTATAGATTCTGCGTGTGAAGTTTTGATCTTACCATATTATTGTTTTTCTAGGTTGTTCAGTAATGAAGGTTGAATTGACTGTTAATAAACAGTTAATACTGAGATTATATTTGCGAAAATGAAAAATTAGAGAAAATTTTGGAAGAATTTTAAGGTATAATTTAAAGATAACGTTGTTTAATATAGAGAAAATTAAGAGAAAAATAATTGAAAATTTAAATTAATCATTTCTTAATATTTTCAAATTCTAGAAAAAAAAAATAAAAAAATAAAGAATGTTGCAACACTCTCAAATACTATTTTTCATATATAACTCAAAATTTTCGTTGGCAAACATAAAAAAAAAAAAAAAAAAAAAATTGTCTCCATATGCGAAGAAAAAACACATTTAAATACGAATGTATTTGTGAAAATAATTTTATTGTGGTGATTAGTAAATAAAAAAGTTTTTATTAAGGCCACTTTAATAAAATAATAATTTAAATGATTAAAAAGATAATTTAATTGGGGATATATTTGAAACAAATTATTTCATGGATAAATTAGAATAAAACATTTCCAATTATATGTATTTGAATATATATGATTTTAGGAAAAAGAAAAAAAAATAAGAGAAAAACTAATTTTTTTTTTAAAAAATGAAGAAAATAAGACAAAATAACTTGACCAAAATTTTAAATATTGCATAAAAGAAACTCCCATTTATAATATAGTTATGAATTAAAGATTACAGACTATAGATAGATATAGCTAATAATAATAATTAGTTCTGATTTTTGTACAAATTTTATTTACCATGAGATTGGAAGGTGGACATCTTTGTTAATTTTTAGAAATTTTTATAATTTGAGATTTTTTTTGGTACGCTGATATATCAGTAGGATAGGTTTTTTTTATTGTTGGATTTACGTACTTTTTTAATTTGTGACTTTAGATAAATTCAATTGTTAGAAAACATACTTTATCGATATATCAGCGTATCAGAATGACTAAAATTGTCAAAAAATTAAAGTTTACGGAATAATCTCCTAAAAATTAGGGGTTAAAAGTGACTAATACTCATAGTTCAAAAACTAACCATGCTAATAAAAAAAGTGTAAAAAATCATTTTTATATAAATATATCTAATTTTATACAATTCAAAATATGTCTTTGATATTGTTAAATTGAAAAACGTTCTTAGAAGAATAACTTCAGTACATTATTAATTGATTTTGATAAACCAAATAAATTATTAACCCATGTATGTCTAATTTCATCATTGTTTTACTGGTTTGATTCCAAATTTAGCACTTGAAGATAAGTAATTGTCTCGTTTTACTCATTACAACTCAAAATGACACAAAACTTCTTCTAAACTTACACTAAATCGAAACTTTAGTATTTTTATCAAAGAGGAATCAATTTTTTTTAAATGGTTTTAATCACTGGTCACATGATTAAAATAACATTAAATAGCAATTTATCACTTAAATTAGTTCACTAGAATGCGTTTTCTGCCAAAAAATAATAATAATAATAAAAATTAGTTCACTTCCTTTTTACATTGTCATTTTAGTTAATAAAATCAAGAGAGCTCAACAAAAGTCATCCTTGGCAACAAATTTAATGTTTATATGACATTCTAACTTTTTGGAATTCAATGAGCATTTTGAACTGAAATTCGAGAAGAATTTTAAGTGTATATTATGGGTGCACGAGCTGACGAATTGGTAGTTTTCGAGCAGGTAAGTTTGGGTTGGGAAACAAGGTTGAGAAAGGTTGCAAATTAATCCTTGTGACATATAGCACAGTAAACAAAGCATCATCTATTTGTTGATGAAAGTTGCTAATTTTTAAGTATGATTGTTTTTTAAGCCGAGTTGTTCGAACCATTCTTCATTTTTTTAAATCACCAACGTAAAATAGTGGATTAATTTCATAAACACTCTCTAAATTTTGTGCACCATTTCAATATGCTCTTGAATTTGAAAAAGAGTTCGTTTCTCCAATTTTAAAAATCGGTCATCATTTATTATGTAAAATTTCAAAATATCACATAACAACACTCATTATTTAAATTTCAAGTGTCAAGGACCAAAGCTCCTAAAAAATTAAAAAAAAAAATCAGTGAAAAATTTGTATAAAATAAAAGTTTATTGACTAAATTATTACAATCTCGTGAGTTTATGGACTAATAATGTTAACAACTCGTTTAAAAGTTATAGGTTACGTTTTGAGGCCCTGTTCATTTTACCTATTTAAGTTTATAATTTGAGTTGTCATGGTCTGAGGTATCATGAATTTTAAGGGCAATGGTGGTGTTTATCTAAAACTGAATGGGCTGTTTTGGATTTTCGCTTCCTTTTTATAAATAAATGAAAAATCAGTATTGAGCTAAAATCGATTTGTCATGGTCGATTGGGTCCCATGCAATTTCGTCGCTGTAAAGCATCCAAAGTCTCTCCAATTTGCAAAAATTGGTAATTGAATCATGTTTCAAATTAGAGAAGCGATATGAAAAAGAAGTAGGAGAGGATTGGCACAAGATTTCCCACATTCCAGATGTCTATGTCGGGCCAGAAAGGTATGCCATAGAGGCGCTTTGGCTTTTCTGCTTTTGTTTTTGAGAAATCAATTAAAACGTAACTGATACGAATTTTTGTATATTAATGTAACAAAATAAATCTTTGCAGATGGCCTCCGAGTCCCTGGACGCACTAGGCAACAAAGAATACTCCTTGTGAGTTTCCTCGTATCACAAAAGGTGAATTACCTGAGATTTGCTTTTCTTCTAATATGTGTCCGTGAAAGTACATATAATGAATGATTGATAACTTGTAGCATATTTATGCAATAAGGAGCATGTTGGCAAAATAAACTAATCCTATTTCCTCTTGGGACCACATTCAAGTTTGAAACCTACCATGTTGGTTGCATGTGATGCACGAAAAATGTCTGTACTTGAGTAATTTAGAGTTTTGAATTAACAAGGACGATATTTTTATTGGGCCCTTAAACTAATTCTAATTATGTTAATATAATAAAATGTTGAATGCTTAAAATTTCTTACTGGGATGTGCTTATATCTTATGCTCGACAAAATGCTCAAATAGACACGAGGGCTGCTCTGCTATAGTTTCATGCCAACTACACTTTTTTTTTTTTTTTTTCATTTGGTTTCTTCTCAATGGACATTAATAAAAAAAAAAAAAAAAAGAAAAAAAAAAGAGGTTTGTTTTGCTGATGGTTTTTTTTTTTTTTTTGGTGCCTTTATAATTTAATATGTTCTTCCAATCTATTTCAACTCATAGTGACAATCGTTATTTGTAGGCTGCTGAATTTATTGATTCTGTTGGGGCATCCTGCGACGAATTTTAATGTTTTGCCCAAAGAGACTTATCTATTTGGATGGAGAGCTTTGTTAGATATATTAGTCTCTCTTCTTCTAAACTTTCACAAATGGGAATTCCAATTTATGTCGTTTGTCTTCTCTAGTATGGTGATGTCAGGGCTCTCAGCTCTGTTTCAAACTCTGTCACTCTCATTTCCCAAGAGTTGTGGAAAATGCGACTTGAGTTCCGTGATTTTATCCTTTTTGAGATTGCATGAGCTGTTGGGTTGAAGGAACATAAGCCAGTCTAGAAACTCTTTTGTTTAGTATACTACTATATTTCTTCTATGCTCTCAGAGATACTTGGAACTTTTTTTTTTTTGGCCTTTTATTATGCATAGTCTGTTGTCTCATTTATTGTTTTAGTTTTTTGAGTTGTTAATAGACGGTTAGCAGAGTTTTGGAGTTGGCCTTTAGTTGTTTTGATATATCTTTTTTTTTTTTTTTTTTGCGAGAAATGTCTTTCCACATTACTAAAATTGGACAAGGTATTGAAGTTAATAGTTATGATTCCTCTTTCTAATGCCTTCCAAGTTCAAGCTATTTTGCACCAAGTGCTGGTTTATACCAGAAGAAACAGAAACAGAGGATATTGATGTTGTTGATCATAATAAGTTGACTAATTTGATCATTTCTTAACCATGTCAAGTTGGAATTCTACACTTTAATTTCACGGCTTTATATGTACATCCACTGATCCACAGGATTTTTACCCCATATGACTAATTAAGTACCTATTTTCTCTTAACACAAATGACAAATCAAAATACTAGGGCTGTTGGTTGCTTTTAAGTTTAATTTTAGGTAACACTTATGGTAAGATATGCGTTTTTGTTCGACTGGTAAAAACTGTTGTTTTTCACCGTTGGATTGGATTTTTTAAAGTCAGATTTATGTATGTCTACATTAAAAATTTAAAGTGCGTGATATAGAACTGCTCTTACTCCATATTAGACTGCAGAAAAACTAATCAAACGGCTAAAACACAGTTGGCACCAATAGAGCAAAATAGTATTCTCTATCACAAATGCACCTTTTTTTAGGATACACATCCTTTGTCTAATTTTTTGTGTCTTAATTACTATTGAACTAATCAAATCACAATATATCATCACATGGTAAGCACAAAAGAATTAGTTAAAAAATAATTTAAATTTTTTTACACGATATGACATGATATGATTCGTTAGACACTAATTGAGATACTAAAATTGAACATGAGAGTTGATTTTTTTTTTTAATTCCGGACAAACCAAAAGTTTGTTAAAAGTAGTAGCCGTTTCATTCATTAAGAAAGTTTACTTATTGCTTCCGGACATAATAATTAGTAGTAGTCTTACTCACTGTTGGTGATATCAAAAACAACCATGGATCAAGCAACTTGGCTTTAAAAAGTTGCAACCTTAAATTTGGGCTACTTTCATTTACCAATGGAGCAAAGATTATGCTTTGCTCATTTTGTTATATTTCTCAAGGGTTTTACTCGCAATCTAACTTTCGTCCCCAACTTTTAAAGTGCCACAGTTTTAGTCCCTAAGCTCTTATTTTGTGTTATTTTCGATCTCTTTGTTAAATATGTGTTAAGTATTTGGCAATATATATAAAAATTAGACTGAAATTAAAATATTTAAAGTTTATGGACTCTTTATTGAAATTAATTTTAATTTTGGTATTTTTTTAGTCCTTAAACTTTAAAGTTTTCTAATTTTACTTTTTAATTTTCATTAAATATTTAACACCTATCTATCGTAAAGACTGAAATTAAAATAAAATAATATGTTAGGGACTAAAAGTAGGATATTTTAAAGATGGGGATTAAAGTGAAACGGTAGGAAAACTCATATACCATTCGTGGGATTTAACCAAAAATTAACTGATACGCAGCAGAAAATTAATATGAAAAAGAAAAAGTGAAAAAAAAGGAAGAAGAATGAGGAGGAGGTGGTTCAACAGTAAGAGGATCTAATGTACTTTATATCCCCTGCCCAGCAAAAACGAAGCACCAAGGTCAGCTTGGCCTCATTGCAATTTCATCTCTTTATTAGTGTTTGTGTTATTCTGTTTGTGACATTTCATTTTTATATTCATCTTCTATTAGATAAAAGCTTGATTTCATTTCATCATTTGCGTAATAACTTCTTCTGTTCCTGTCTTCCTTATCCCGTGTAGCAGGAGGACCCATTACTTAATTTCAACTCAAATGTTTGAAAAACTAATCCAAATGAAACTTTTTGGACGGCATTTTATCTAATGTGATTATGATCAGATCTCACGATGGAGCCTCTACTGCGAAACATCCATAATGAACATAAAAGAAATTATTGTTGTTGACTAAGCTGTATTGATGTTTTCTGCATTATTGTTGAGGCAAAAAAAGACCACAAGTGGTTTCGTATGAAACTTCATGGTGTTGACTTAATGGCATACTTGTAACGAGTCTTCCTACAAAACTTGAGTTCTCTCAAACAAATCAGTTTTTGTGACTTGCAAATTCAATCAAGCTATAATCTGTAAGCTAGCCAGCTTTCTTTGGTTTGATCTCAATTTCTTAACTGAGAATGGCTGAAGCGTTTGCCAAAGTAGTGCTTGAAAATCTGAATTCCCTGATCCAAAAGCAATTCGGAAAGCTTTGGGGGGTCAAGAAAGAGATGGAAAAGCTCTCCAGCATGCTCTCAACGATTATTGCTGTTCTTGAAGACGCTGAGGAGAGGCAGTTCACAGACTGCGCGATCAAGAATTGGCTGCAGAAACTTGGGGATGTTTCCTTTGAGCTGGATGATGTTTTGGATGATTGTGAAATGGAGGCCTCTTGGTTGGAGATTGAAGGACAAAAGCATAGATGGACCGGAATGGTACGCTCTTCTTTATCTTGTTTCAAACCGATGAATACTTTGTTTCGTCTAAGGATCGCAAACAGGACGAAAGAAATTGGAGATAGACTGGATCAAATCGCAAATGAGCGAATGAAGTTTCACTTGAGGGAAGTGGTTGGGGAGAGGCAAGGCCAAGCTATAAGAGAAAGACGTGAAACTAGCTCCTTTATTACTCAGCAACATGTGTATGGAAGAGAAGAAGACAAGGAAAAAGTTATTGGCTTTTTAGTAGATGATGCAAGGAATTGTGAGAATATTTCAATCTACCCCATTGTTGGTCTGGGGGGCATGGGAAAGACGACTCTTGCTCAGCTTGTATTTAATGATGAGAGAGTTGGTAGGCATTTCGAATTTAAGATGTGGGTATGTGTTTCTGAAGATTTTGATGTGAAGAGATTGGTGAAAGCAATTATAGAATCGGCAACTGGTAGATCTTGTGAAGCATTGGACATGGATCCTCTACAAAAATGTCTTGGGGACATTCTTAAATGGAAGCGGTTCTTGCTTGTTTTAGACGACGTTTGGAACGAAGATCACGAGCAATGGGACATGTTAAAATATGTACTGGATTGTGGATCAAATGGCTCTTCAGTTGTTGTTACTACTCGTCTAAAAAAAGTTGCTTCAATTATGGGAACAACGTCAATTCATTTCTTATCAGGTTTGTCAGACGATGATTGTTGGTTGTTATTCAAGCAACGCGCCTTTGGTAACGAAAGTGAGGAACTACCTAACCTAGTAAAAATTGGGAAGGAAATTGTGAAAAAATGTGGGGGAGTGCCACTTGCTGCAAAGGCTTTGGGAGGCTTAATGCGTTTTAAAAATGAGGAACATGAGTGGCTTTCTGTTAATCAAAGCGAAATATGGAACTTACCGCAAGACAAATGCTCCATATTGCCTGCTTTAAGATTGAGCTACTTTCATCTTCCAATACAGCAAAGACGTTGCTTTGCTTATTGTGCGGTATTTCCCAAGGATGATATGATTAGAAATGAAAGTTTAATTCATCTTTGGATGGCTAATGGACTTATTTCTTCTAAAGGAGGACTCGAGGCGATGCATGATTTAGTTCATGATCTTGCTCAATTCATTATGGCAGATGAATGTGGTGTTTTGATGATTTATAAGAATAATTCCATTAATTTGCCATTAAGACTTCACCATCTCACATGCAACTTTACCGACATGGCTCCATTGGATGAAGTGCTTGACATACCTTGCGCACGTTTATGGTATTAAGGGATTCACGTCCAGGCCAGTATTTTACACAGAAGATCAATTGTCCTTCTTTGCGAGCTTTGGAAGCTAGGTTTCTTTCATATCCATCCGTAGCATATGTAATTAGTCACTCAAAACACCTACGCTACTTGAATCTCTCACTTGGTCGTTTTAGAACCCTTCCCAAGTCAATTTGTTCATTGCAACAATTATTGACTTTGAACCTAGAAGGGTGTGTTAGTCTTCAAAAGCTACCTAAGCACATGTCTCGCCTAAAAAGTCTTCGTTTTCTTAACATTTGTGGCTGTTTCAGTTTATTACACATGCCTCCAAACATTGGGAAACTAACTAGTCTAAGGACATTGAGCAATTTCATTGTTGGAAGGAGAAGCGGGCATCGCTTGAATGAGTTGCACAATTTATCCAATCTAGGTGGCCTTCTCTGCATAAGCAATCTCAATAAAGTGGTAAATCCAATGGATGCAAAGACAGCAAATTTGTCAACAAAAGGAAATCTCAAAAGCTTGTGGTTGTCCTGGAGCGGAAAGCCCTCGCACCTTCTTCAAATCTAAATGTTTTGTGCATCCGAAGTTATGGAGCTACTCGTTTCCCATATTGGTTGAGTAGTGTAATTCTTGACAATATTGCTATCATTCGTCTCCATGATTGTAATAATTGTTTACAGCTTCCAGCCTTCAGGAAACTGTCATCTTTAAAAGAGCTCAAAATAGCTAACATGAGCAGGCTCCCATATGTTGACTCGGAGCTGTATGATGAAAATTTGAGAGGTTTCGTGTGCTTGAAAAGTCTTTATCTGATAGATTTACCAAATCTAGAAGGGCTGACAAGGGAGGGAGGAAGAGAGATGTTCCCTTGTTTGTCAAACTTTTGCATGGATCGATGCCCTAAACTGACCTTGCCCTGCTTGCCATCTGTCAAATTATTTGAAGTATTGAAACCAAGTGAAGTTTTACTAAAATCCGTTCCAAAGCTCGACGGTCTTACTTCACTTCTCCTGACTGTTAACTGTGATGTGACTTCATTTCCCAATGCGATGTTGCAAAATCTCACCACCCTCCAATTCCTTAAAATTACTGGATTCACCAAGCTTCAAGAGTTTCCCGCCGTTATACAACTCAACAATTTGTTGGTTTTGGGGATCAGTTTCTGTCATGAGCTTGAGTGCTTACCGGAGAGAGTATTCCAAAGCGCTACCCGTCTTAACTGTTTCAAAATCAGAAGTTGTAAGAAGTTGAAATCGTTGTCTGAAAGTTTTTGCAACCTCACGGCTCTTCAATCATTGGAGCTTGATGATTGCCCCGAGTTGGAGGGTTTTCCGGATGGTCTTAACTACCTTTATTCTCTCCAAAAATTGAGAATGTCAGGCTTAGATATCACCTATAACGTGTTGGAAAATTAATGGCATCGAATGCGGAGCGGAATTTAAAAAATTTTAATTAACGTCAAAGCCAAACAAGAACATGTTCATGATACTATATAACATAAATATTAAAGATCTAAAACATACCTTTTGAGATTTCAGGAAACTGCACGTCTGACAGATCTAAGCGTTCCAAACAGCAACCAGAAGAGCCTCAATCAACTGGTCTTCTTTGCTATTCTCGTTTCCACAATCGGTGTGCGGGTGGGCACACGTCGTTTAATCTCCTCTAGGTATTCTTGATCTCCTTCCAATCACAAGAGAGCCAAAGAAAAAATTGTTCTTGAGAATTAAAGAATTTTTCCTCTCAGGAATCTTTTATCAATAGCCTCCAAAAAGTCTCTCAAGTGATCTAATGAGTAATGTGACTTAATAGGCTATTTATAGTGTTTAGGAAGTCATACTTCCGTAACAATTAGGTTTCTCAAAGTTCTAATCGCATCTAGAGTCGATTTTGCCATGTCAGCATGCATTTTACGTTACAACCGGTCGACCGGTGACAGAGACGTTATAACTCACCGGTCGACCTGTCTTCACTAACCGGTCGACCGGTCTCCACTGACGAAAGTTGTTTTTCCTAGTTTTTCAATACGGGAAACTTGCATAGAGCCTCAGTTTTGATTCAAGCAACCTAATAGAGAAATTGCCTGATCAAAACAGTCATATAATAGTCTTCCCATATTAAACAAATCTTAAAACAATAATTCAACCAATTTATCTAGAATTAATTTATCAATTAATTCACCCATGAATTAACTTTAAACCTCTCGTTACGGAAATAACACAAGTTACCAATGTGTAAGAAATACATTGTATCGTTACAGGAAATTATGTGAGCTAGTAAAGGGACCCGATGGACATATATAAATCAAGCTCCTATAATCACAACGCTACTTGTAAACCAACAAGTCTGTCTCATGATTATAAAACTCTAGCGCTATTCCACTAAAAGCCTAGAGCTGCACTCTCGATTTATATAGCGTATTTATAAAGCTCTGATTAGCTCTAGTCCATGACTCAATATATTAGTGTATCATCCCCATAGGATATCCATAATTGACTTGAGGTCAAGTTCCGTTTTACCTTCCCGATTACATTTATCTTATGTTCCATTATCATACCATCAGAAAAATACTATTCCTATAATTACAAACAGTAAACCATTAGATAACACATAGTAGTCTAATGGCTGAGCGCTCATATTTTCCAATCCACTGATAATGCATAAAAGGATATCATTGACTCTTTATAGGAGCTATGGATTCCACTATCTATGAATAACGAATCTACGCATACACGAGTCATACCCCCAATGTACCGGCAAGCGTACCTTTACATAATGTCAGGATGTCTCCTTTTAGTACATCAAAGGATACAAGTCAAGTATACAGGTTCATCATCCATCTCAGGATTAAGATGACAACATATAATTCGTCAAAAGTGAATTGTTTTATTCAAACAGAATTATTAATTGAAACAATTCAACTTTGGTCCAATCCAATATAGATTTCACCATTAGAAACTATATCAATGTCCCCACCCATGGAGTCCCACCTCCGACGACCAAGACAAGCCGTCTCCGTTAGGAAGTAGACAACATAACAATCTTAACATGAATAAAGCGCCCAATTTTATTCCCTCGATTGTGGATCATAAGATTTAGACTATCATCTTTAAATTCTTGTCTTCCACATGTTCTTCACATTACATGCATGATCTAAAGATTTAGAATGACAGTCTCTGACTTTCAGTTTGCTTATCATACATTCAACTATTATGAACATAAAGAGGACAATTCATAGATATATAAAATAAATAAATTTTTATTAATAGTCAAAATAGCTCAAAGAATATTGTTACATTTATTCCTAAGGGCATAAATGCTAACATAACAGGGATCATAACTACGGATTTAGCGTGTCTGCTTCTCATAAGTTGGCTACTTTTCCAGAGGCCTTGCAACACCTTCCCTCACTTGAATTTATGAGTGTATCTTATTTTCAAGAGCTCAGATCACTACCTGATTGGCTTGGAAATCTAACATTTCTCCAAGAATTAGAACTAATAGGTTGCCCAGATTTTGCATACATACCTGCGAGCATTCAAAACCTCACCAACTTAAAGAAATTGACAATTGAGTCATGCCCTGAATTGGAGGAGAGATGTGATAGGGAAGTGGGAGAGGATTGGCACAAGATATCCCACGTTCCAGATGTTTATGTTGGGCCAAGGTAAACTGGAGATGCTTTGAACATCGCCTTTTTTTTTAGCGCAGTAATTGGTATTTATTTTACATTTTAATATAGCTAATTTAATCTTTGCAGGAACTATTGGGAAACCCGCAGCAGGAAAAGTTTCAGTTACGAACTTCATCCCATGGACTATGACAGGTGAATTACTTGTTATGGACTGTTGTTCTGGAAACGTCTAACGATTCTCTATACATACTATTCTTGATATTCTTTGACATTTCCATCTCTTTAGGCTTCGTCTATTTCTCCTCTACGAGACCACTTAAATCTACTTCCATTAATCTTTTCTTTTATCCCTTATGATTTTTTTTTTTTAATGTACGTCTTTTAAACCTATTTCAGTTCGTGGCATGTATTGTCTTCCTTTTGAAGTTGGTGATCTTGTGCAAGTAGTAGAAATTTTGTGGGGGCTTGAATGATCTGTCTAATTTCCTATTATTGGATGAAGAGCTCCGTCAGATATTCTCCTGTTTCTTTCGAAATTGCACCTCTAGAAAGACTCCGATGTTGAGTTATGTGGAGCCTGATTGCCTATACACTTTATCGACCGTGGTTCAACCTTTTGGAGGAGTGAATCCCCGAGGAAATATTTTGGGGTTATTTTAAGTATTCTAAATGTATATTGGTCAAACAAAGAAACTGATAGAGGAATTTTGAGAATCTTGTACTGCATTGTCTGATTATGGTGATATTCCGTTACTTGCTAGTGGACGTAGCTCTCACATTAAAAGCGAACAACTATATATTATGTGTTTGCTCTGTATTAGGAATCCAATTGATGTTGCACAGTGTGTCCGGCCTGATATCGTGATGTTGAGGCTGTGCTGCATGCTCGTTGCAACTGTCCTGTCACAAAGAGTTGTCTGATATGTAATTGTTTTTATTTTTTATTTTTTTGTTAATATCATGATCTATGTAGGGAGGAGAAATAAAAAAAAATATTAAAAAAAAACCATTTATGGAACTACTCTAGAGATTATTTGGTAAATTTGGTTGTTAGTCATATTTATATTGTTTCAGAGCTTTCTTGCCTTTGTAATTAATATTAGGGAGAAGGAGGAAAAAATGCTAAAATTTAAGAGGAATTAAAATTAATACGCAAATGTTTAAAAGAAGTTAATAAACAGGTTAATATGATGTAAATCCGGATTTGTAACTGCCTAAAATTTTAAAAATACTCTTGAATGAAATTTCCCCACCTCTTAAGCAACCCTTCGTGCGCCTCTCCCCCTCCCCCCCTCTCCTTCTCATCCTCTCGGACCTCTCCTCTCTCAAAATTCTACTCTCTCTCTTATCCCTTTCTCATCGTCATTGTCCTCCATTTCTTCACCATTGTTGTCCGCATGCTCCACTTGCAAGGACAAGAATTTACCAAGTAATGTTCTTACAAGAATTTACCAAGTTATTAGAACATTACACTTTTTTTTTGTTTCCTTTTTTCTAATATAGTAGCTTTAATTTTAATGTAATAACTATGTATATAAATTAGACTTTGTCCCCCTTAAATTAATAATTCTCTATATTTTATTAGGTCATGAATTAATTTAATAAACAAAAACTATTACATATATATACATGTTAATATAATCTTGATAAAAAAAAAAAGAATTTGGCTCCCTATCAATAAATCCTAGCTCCTAGTTGTAAATCCATGATTTACCAAGTTAATATTACTTGGAACCTTAGAATGAAGAAAGTGTAAATCCAAGATTTACAGTGTAAATCCAAGATTTACTAATAAACACATTACAAAATAACATTAATAGTAAATCTAGGATTTACTAAGTCACTATTACTTGAAAAAGAACATTACAATTTTATGGTAATTCCTAGATATACACGGTAAATCCAAAATTTACCAAGTTAACATTACTTGAAAAAAAAATTACAAATTCTAATGGTAAATCCTTAATTTAATAAGTTAATATTACATGGAACCTTAATATACACGGCAAATTTAAGACTTAACAAGTTAACATTACTTGAAAAAGAATAACACAAATTCAAATAGTAAGTCTTAGATATACGCGTTAAATCTATGATTTACCAAGTTAACACTACTTGAAAAAGAACAATGCAAATTCTAATGAAAAATCTGATCTGGATATCCAACACTGTGTATCCAGAGAAGAGCAACGACGAGCAAGCATTCATTGGAGTTCGCGTACTCCATCGATGGTGATTGCCCGATGAGAGAAAGGGAGAGAAGATCGACGTAGAATGAGAGGGTTAGAGAGAGTAGAGAGAGAGAGAATAGAGAATAGAAGATTGAGAAAGACATAAAAAAATGAAAAGGGAAATAAATAGAAAGAAGAAGGTAAAACTGAAAAATAAATAATAAAAAACATAAAATGTTCTATTAATTTTTATACATTAGTAAATTGGCCATTTACTTCTCTAAGTTGCAAATAGACTTATTTCTTACCATTTCTCTCAATTAAATATTATTAGTATAGGTCTTGTCCTTATCTATCTTGCTTGTTTACATGACGCAACAATTTTTTTATTTTTTAATCAAACGTGACACAAAACTTAAAACTTAGATATATGCAATTATCTGCACTATCTTGCTAATTATTCTATCGTGATAATCTTCTCTAAGTTGCAAATAGACTTATTTCTTACCATTTCTCTCAATTAAATATTATTAGTATAGGTCTTGTCCTTATCTATCTTGCTTGTTTACATGACGCAACAATTTTTTTATTTTTTAATCAAACGTGACACAAAACTTAAAACTTAGATATATGCAATTATCTGCACTATCTTGCTAATTATTCTATCGTGATAATATTAGACAAGGCTTACACAAGAACTCATGGAATATATATATATATATA